GGTGACAAGTTCTATACTCCCATTTTCCTTGTCTCCCCTTATATCCAGCCCAGTCATCAATTCTTAGTAGCTCTATCTTTTGATTCTTCTGCATCTGGTTCCTCTGTATCCTTCATTGGCTTCCTTAGCGACCTCACTGCCTGCCTATATTTTGTTTACCTCTAGTTTGTTTTCTTCTTGACCCTGGAATAACTTTCTAGTGCAAAAATTGGGCCACTCGGGGCGCCTGGGTGGCTCAGTGGTTAAAGCCTCTGCCTTCGACTCAGGTCATGATCTCAGGGTCCTGGGATCAAGTCCCGCATCGGGCTCTCTGCTCAGCAGGGAGCCTACCTCCTCCTGTCTTTCTCTGCCTGCCTCTCTGCCTACTTGTGATCTGTCTGTCAAATTAAAAAAAAAAAAAATCTTAAAATAAAAAAAAATTGGGCCACTCACTCCTGTGCTTTGAATTTTTCAGGGTTATAATATTCTACAGGATAAAATAAAAATTCCTCAGCATAACTTCACACCTCATTTCTTACCACTTTCCCTCTCAAGCTGTACTGATTTATTTGTAACTTTTACAAACATTCATATCTTTGTATATATCAGTACTCAGTGTGGAATGCTCTTCCTTTTATATCTCTGGAATATCCTCCTGCCATTCCATCCTTAAAGGCTTGGCTGACTCCCCAGGAAACTCTGTAGCAGCTCCTTCTCCTAAACTCTCATTTCTCCTTTTATACATCACTTCCCTGTGGCACTTGTCAGGTATTGTTGTTTGCATAGGTGTATCCTACTTGTATATGTAAGCACTCAGTAGTAACTGTTGAAAGAGGGAAGAGTGGTAGAAAAGTCCTCGACTTTAGGTGGTGGCATATTTGAAACAGAAAACAAGGAATCATTTTAAGGGGAAATAAATGGACTCCCTGTGATTGCTTATAGATGATACAGACATGGACTTTTGGCACTACTGATAAATTTACTTGGAAATATTTTTTTTTTAATATTTTCTTTTTTAAAGATTGATTTATTGGGGCATATGGGTGACTCAGTGGGTTAAGCCTCTGCCTTCGGCTCAGGTCATTATCTCAGGCTCCTGGGATTGAGCCCCGAATCCACCTCTCTGCTCAGCGGGGAGCCTGCTCCCCCCTCTCCCTGCCTGCCTTTCTGCCTACTTGTGATCACTCTCTGTCAAATAAATAAATAAAACATTGAAAAAAAAGATTGATTTATTTTAGAGAGAGCATGCGAGTGGGGGGAGGGGCAGAGGAAGAGGGAGAGCATCTCAAGTGGACTCCCCACTGAGCAGGGAGCTGGCTGCGCTGTTATCACCACCCTGAGGAATGACCTGAGCTGAAATCAAGAGTTGGATACTCAACCGACTGCGTCACCCAGGCACCCCTTGGAAATATTTTCTAAAACTTAAACTTTTTGTCCCTAAAATAAATATGTTATTGAGAAACAGTGTCCATTTGTAAATCACATGAACGCTTTTTGGGGAGATTGAAACTAAAGAAAGGGTTTTTGAAGCAGAATAGGATTAGAAGTTATCATGAAATATGGGGCATTATGGGTGCTTTGAGTAATGAGTTATTTTTCTGATCTAGACCTAGAACAGAGATTTAGGAAATGTTCATGATTATCTCTTGTGTTAAAATGTTTCCTCTTTTTGAAATTGAAATATATTCTCTCTGCTGTGAAAAAATGTTCACATTTAAATTAATCCTTAATTTGGTGAGATGCTACGAGTTTTGTTATATATAGATGAGATGCTTAATAAAACTTAGGAAGAAATTAAATATGCTAAAAAAAGTATGATTGAATAAACCAAATAGGTTTGGTATTTTTCACACAAATGTCACATTGCAGTGTGTGGAAATGAGCCTAACATTTGTTTAGTAATATCACATTTCATGTGTACTGATGACTAACTTACTAGGAGCATATGTTGCTATCAGAAACATAGTCCTATAAAACATCCATGTCATTCTTCTAATTTGCTGGATATCTCTGTAGCCTTTTGTATTCTTGTTTAACAGTTAAGATTTATATAAAGCTAGTGATCCACTATAATAAAAAATATTAACTAAAATAATAATGTTCTTTCCAGCTTTATTTTTTTTAACAGAACAGTGTACTTAGAAAACGTCTGTAACTTAGACTTTCCTTTAATTTGCTATGTTGGATCCTTTAAATAAAAGTAGATGTACAGGGGTGCCTGGGCGGCTCAGCGGGTTAAAGCCTCTGCCTTCGGCTCAGGTCATGATCCCAGGGTCCTGGGATCGAGCCCCATATCGGGCTCTCTGCTCAGTAGGGAGCCTGCTTCCTCCTCTCTCTCTCTGCCTGCCTCTCTGCCTATTTGTGATCTCTGTCAAAGAAATAAAATCTAAAAAAAAAAAAGTAGATGTATAACTATTAGCCATTGCAGTCTCCCTGTCCCCTAACTTACCTGCCCTATATTTTAGTAAATGTAAGTTTAAAAAAAATACTGGCTTTTATACCTCCTTTATTCTTTTAAAGAATCATGAGCTGTTGCATTGACTTGACAACTTCTTATTGTTCTATTCTGACAATGTACATATCTCCATGTGCTATATAACAAATGCATATTTGATTGAAACTAGAGTAGTAGGGCACCTGGGTGGCTCAGCATCTGCCTTCTGCTCAGGTCCTGATCCCAGGGTCTTGGAATCATGCCCCACATTGAGTCTGCTTCTCCTTTTCCCTCTGACCCCTATTCATGTTTCACTCACTCTATCTCTTAAATAAATAAATATATCAAAAAACCCCCCAAAAAACCTAGAGTAGTAAAATATGCTATTAAGACCATATTTCTGGGGCTCTAGGGTGGCTCAGTCGATTAAGCATAGGAATCTTGATTTCGGCTCAGGTCCTCATCTCAGGGTGGTGAGATCAAGCCCCTCATTGCACTCTGTGCTGGACATGTAGCCTCTGGACAGATAGCCTGCATGCACAAGGTTCTCTCTCTCCCTTTACCCCCCCCCCCCACATTTGTGCGCAGATGGCTCTTTCTCTGTCTAAAAACAAAACAAAACAAAACATAAAAAGCATATTTGTAAACATTTAACTCTTGGTCATTAAAATTTGAAGGCTGGGTTAAGGCTTTTCTCTTCAGAATAGAAGTTTTAAGTGTTCATATCTGACAACTCAAAAGGCATTTTACTTTACTTATAACTTTTGTTTTATTAACAAGTTTCACTTTACTTAACTCTTTAAAGTCTTAAATATTGTTCTATAACATTCTCTTTTTAAAAAATGATTTTATTTTTAAGTAATCTCTACAGCCAATGTGGGGCTCAAGTTTACAACTACGAAATCTCTACCTGCATGCTGTACCCGTTTTACAACATTCTTGAAGAAATTTTTGCCATTAAGGTTCTGTTGTCCTACCAATATGCATTTGCCTTGCTCCTCTGCTGTTTTCAAGTTATCTGCCTACCTTAAAGCCAATTGTGTTTTGGGGCCAATATTAATTTCTTTTTAAAAAACAGTAATCAAGCTCATATTAACTCTCAGAATACTTTAGAGAACATATAAACAGTAAACAATTTTGTACCCTCCCAAAAGTTAGGAGATTAACTAAAACACGTATTTATGGTATCTAAATTGTTACCCAAAACTTAGTTTTTCTTGTGGATTGGTTGTTTTGCAGCCAATACAAGTCTGATTTGCATAAGCAGCTCACTGCTCCTCCTTCCTAGACATATTTTGGGATGAATGTCTTTGTATGACCAAAAAATGGATCAAAGAACTTATATTTCACATTCATAATTCAAAAGAGAAACATGGAGAAACATTAAAATAATTTTGGATATAGTAATGAGTACGGTGTTACTCAAATTACAAACCAGGAACTCATTTAACTTTGTTGGTACCTGACAACCAAACTAAGTGATTAAGGTTAGCTCCTTAATAACCGGAGATAATTTTGGAAACTAGTTCTGTGACCTTAGGTGTCATAAAATAAAACCTTTGGAAAGATACAAAGAAACCTCTGAAATAACATGCTCGTTTAAACTGAAACCAATGAAAGTCTGCCAGAATGCAGAAATGCCAACAAATTTAACTTTTAAAAAGTTGAATGTGCGAGTTGATTTTGGTATTTCAACTCCGTGGTGCCACGAAGATTGATCTTCCCGCCTGTTTTTTTTTTTTTTTTTTTGGCAGAAGTTGCCAAGAGATGGGGTCCCCTCCCAGCACGTCAGCCTTGTGCGAGCTTGTGTGCTTGTGCCCACGTTTCCTGCTTCCTCAAGAAACTATCCACCCGCATCTCAAGTGACTTCGGAAGGAATGCCCTTGGTTTGGGAGAGAGGTGGGGGGCAAGTGGTAGAGGAAGACGGGACAGATATAACAGCTTTATTCCTAACCCACTTGCTCAGCCCTCAGAAGCGTTGGGGTGTAGCTCTAGCAAAGCTGGGCCAGGAGTTGGGGAGCGGCGCTCCGAGGGCAGTAAGGGTGGGGGTACTGGTTGGCGCCTCACCTTGCCGGGGACCCCGCGATGGTCGGTGCTTCCCTGCCAGAAGCGCCTGTTGTAGCCCGTGATGTATCCGACCATCTTGTCCTGATAAGGGAAGTCCACCTTCCAGATCAGGGACCCATAACCAAAAACCCACATCCTTCCCTTGCTCCTCCGCTGCGGTAGCGGTCGACCCTCAGCTGTGGTCTCTACGGTGCCGGCACCAGCCGGGACTGCTGCTTCCCCGACGCAAGTAACCGGCTGGGCGGCCGCAGGCGCAGTAGCTGCACTGTCTGCTGGTGGGAGGGGGGGCGCAAAGCACACTGGGACACGTAGTTCGAGGATCGTCTTCCGACTTGGTCAGCGTTATTTTATTTCGTTGCTTAGGGTATCAAGTAGCATTGACCTTCCGTATGCTACGCAAAGGATTCTTTCGTAGTCTCTGCAACTCACCCTAACCTTCTGGTGCGTCTATGCAGAGGACTACAATACCCACAGTCCTCTCCTGGGATTTGTGACTTGAGGTTGGAACTGTCCTCTTTTGAGCGGGTACAAGGAGAAGCGCCTCGCCTGTAGTCGCTGCGGATACAGTCTAGATACCGGCAAGAGATATACGGGCACCGCGTTTGGCACGTAGGAAGACATTTTGTTCTTTGAAAACTGGGTTTCTGCCAACAGCAGCCAGAGGAGCGCAAGCTGTGAATGGCGTATTTGGCTTTATACTTAAAAAACGGTAACAAAACGAAACCAAAAAACGTCTGCCTGTCTTCCTTTCACATAAAGCAGAAAGTTTACCACAGAACTTTTACGACTATGAAAGAGCTATTGTTTCAACTCATTTAAATTTTACGCGCAAAACAACCTTATTCATCTTCAGTATTCTCAGCTGCTCACTCAGAAAAGGGTAAGCAAAGGTTCTTGCCTCATGCACAGGCTTTAGAAGGGATATGTGGCACTTAAAATTGAATACAGAATTTGAGGTCTGTGTGCATTCTTCTGGGGGAGTAGCTTTATAGCTTTCATGAGTTTCTCCAACAGGTCAAGGTTCTAAAAAATGTTAAGATCTGCTGGTTAGAACTACTGCTCCAAAATATTTTTTTTAGGGAAATCACTTGGACCAACACGGCTGTGTTTCTGAGTGTAAAAAGAGAAGCTTTAGCAAATTCTTGTTCTCTCTTGAGGATTTATTTCTATTTCATAGTCTTAAACTACATGAAAGAATTTTAGAACACCCAGATTCTAAGAGTATTATTTGAACTCTTAAGAAATCAGCAGGAAACTGATACAAAAACAAAACAAAACAAACTTAGCTTAAGAATCACCAGGACCTTTCATTTATTACCCATGTTTAAGTTTCACATTGCCTGGAATGGTTGGTTTCTACCAACTCTGAACTTTTTCGAAAAATTTCAAATATACGGAAAGAATTTTAAAAAAGTAATGTCATCACTCATATACTCTCCACTTGGATCCAATAACTGACATTTTGCCAGTATATTTTTTTCTCTATACTTTTTAATCTAAAACATTTGAAGTAAGTTGCGTGTGTTATTTTTCACTGCTAAATACTTAAAGAATAAGGACTTTCTCCTAATAACCACAATGCCATTATCACATCTAAGAAAATTAACAAAACTGCATCACCAAATATATATTACATATTCAGATTTCCTTAATTGTCTCATAATTGCTTTTTGTAGCTGATACTCTGATACTTTTTTCACCATCCAGGATCCATTTAAGGTTTATACATCACATTTGGTTGTTTGACCTTGTACTCATTTAGTCAAGAGCATGTGAAGGCTTTTATTAAAAAAACATCTTGTATACAGTTGCGTATTAACTAGTTGGTATTAAGGGTTGAGGGGAGTGATTATGCTGTGATAGTGCATTTCTTTTGGCTTCTCCTTCTCTTAAGAGGTTCAAAGATATTACCCAGTTCTGATTTTTTTTTTTTCAGGTTATTGCCTGTTAATCTAGATCCGTTAACATTATTTGTAACTGTGAGAAAAGCCAGTAAATTTGGAAAGGGATTCATACTTGTTTTTCCTCGAATGCTCTTTTTTAATGTCTTTGGAGGGGTATTCTTATGTGTGTGTGTGTGTGTTTTTCCTACATAGAAACAGTTCTTTTATTAGATGAATATGCCATAAATTTGCCGTATATGTGTTGTCTTTTCTTTTTTGTGAAACTTGGATATAATGGCCTTAGCTGGGAATTAGCATCTTTCAACAAAGTGTAGCCTAGCATTCAAGGTTCTCCACAGTTTGGCATTCAGCTACCTCTGTAAGCTCCTTTTTCTCCTGTTCTTTGTTTAGCTAATCCTCCTTCAAAAGTGAGCTAATTGTTTCCCTTATTCACTGGCCCTAATTCATCCTTGCTTGTTCATTTACATAATGTTTGTTGTGTTTTTCCTTTTGCCATGGAATGCCCTTCTCCCCTTTTTCTCATTGTCAGATCCTCCCCGTACCAGCTCACATTCCTCACAAATTTAAGTAGTTTCTCCCTTCTTTGACTACCCATGAACTTCTCTTGGAGTACTTTCTTCTTTTTGTTTTGAATAACATGTGTTTATCATTTCTCTGAGTCTGTGTCACCTTTATATCCACCACATTACTTGTGGCTAGTTGATGCCCAGTAAATAACCGTCAACTGCATAATTAAATGTGTAGTAAAAATATTCACTTTCCTAGTAAGGGACCTGTTGATCCAATCAGACTTACCCTTAGTGTAGTGTTAGCTGTTTGGCGCACTAGAGAATCTACTTCTGCAGTTACAGCTTTCTATTTAAATGTGACCATGGATAAATTTAAATTTCCTATAGGAAATTCTATGCACTTTCTTTTAACCTCTCCTTTTAAAGATTTTACTTATTCATTTGACAGAGAAAGAGCAAACACAAGCTGGGGGAGAGGGGTAGCAGAAGGACAGGGAGAAGCAGGCTCCCCACGGAGCAGGGAGCCTGACTTGGGGCTTGATCCCAGGACCCAGGATTCCTGGGATCATGATATGAGCCAAAAGCAGACATCCAACTGACTGAGCCACCCAGGCACCCCTTAACTTCTTTGAAACCTTCATTTTCTGGAAAAAGTATTTAGAAATGGTTCTAGAAAGTTTTCACCTGTATTAGACTAGACATGTTGGCATTTCCTGAACCACCTCCTAAAATCATTAGAAAAAATCAGGAAGGCTGGGCTAGGAGTGCTACTGTGAGGGATTGCCCCTTGGGAGGTAACTCTTACCCTGAGAATCCTGAACCTTAGCATCCTAGTGTAATTAACAAGAAACTGTCTTTGTGAGAATCATATACTGAGAGCTATACTGGGGGAACATAGAATGAACTTTAGAGGAAGATGATGAGGAAGAGGCACTAATGCAGTCAAGAACTTTCTAAGCTGGTATAGGAAAGCTAGACTCATCTTTTTATGATGCTCTTGTTCATTTCAGTATATTCAATATATTCCATCAGTGGGACTGTTTCATCAAGGAAAGAGAACATGAATGTTAGCCTCTTTTGGAAAGGACAAGAGGAAAAACTACAATTTTTACTTATCTTCGTTTTTCCCTTTTGTTCATTCCTTTTCTAGCTTTTTGGGATCTAGCTTTTTCCTGGAGAGGACTGCAAATTAATTCTCGAGGCTGAGCATTGCTGTTAGTTAAATAGCCATCTCTATGTAATAGAGTACACATTTGGGATTAACTGCAGGTGTTTTAGCCCCTTCATCTACAAGTTCCAGTGAAGGCACTTCGGCGGATACGAACAGGAGCAGAAGCTTGCAGGAAGGAGCTGCTCAGACATTTCCAGAAGTGGAATGATAGAACTCGTGAAACTCTCTTGATATCTTTAATAAGAGCATTCCAGGGAATCCCAATTCCCCAGAGACACTTTGTGGTTTAGGCTCTAGAATAGGCTGTGTCTTGCCAGGTTGCTTTCTCCACCTCAGGATTTTCCGCAGCAGTCTTGTGACAGATGCAGGACAGGCCTGCTTCGATCTGCTAATCTCTAGGAGTGCAGAGTTGTTTTATTGTCTATAGTGTTTTCTTTCTGCCTTGTTTTGTAGACTGGTCAAAAGAATGGATTTCACAGAGGCTTACTCTGACACATGCTCCACCGTTGGACTTGCTGCCAGGGAAGGCAATGTTAAAGTCTTAAGAAAACTGCTCAAAAAGGGACGTAGTGTTGATGTTGCTGATAACAGGGGATGGATGCCAATTCACGAAGCAGCTTATCACAACTCTGTAGAATGTTTACGGATATTAATTCATGCAGGTAAAGTAAATTCAAGGAATGGGAGGCTGGGCCTACAAGCTGGATTAATAAAACAAAAAAATGGTAATATATGATTTATTAACGGTAGTGTTTGTTTTCTTTTTCTTTGACCATAAAAGAACTGCCTGTGCATTATTAAGAATGGTAAGATTGCCTGCCTTGGGTTATATAAGTATGGTGTTTCAGCTGGATATCTATAAATGTTGTCCTTGATACGTAACTTGCTGTGCCTGGCCCATTTTTACTGTCTGAGCTCTTTTTTTTTTTTTTAAGATTTTATTTTTATTTATTTATTTGACAGAGATCACAAGTAGGCAGAGAAAGAGAGAGAGAGAGAGAGAGGAGGAAGCAGGTTCTCCACTGAGCAGAGAGCCTGACGTGGGACTTGATCCCAGGACCCTGAGATCATGACCTGAGCCGAAGGCAGAGGCTTAACCACTGAGCCACCCAGGCGCCCCTGTCTGAGCTCTTTTAATTAAGCATTTGGTTGTTACTAGTCATGTTTATTCCTTCTTCCTTTTCCAAACAGAAGGAACAATGTTACTGGAATTGAGGGTGTGTGTGCTTTGGTTGAATTAGTCTTTTTTTTTTTTTTTAAATACTTTTCAGTTTTGTTAATTTCAGGACTCTTTCCAATTACTTTTTGTATTTTTTTTTTTTTTTTTTAAATCTGAGGTCACGTTAGAGAATAGGATAGACAAGGTCCCTGCCTTTATGGTGCTTAAATTCCTATCAGGGGAGACAGACAATACCTAAACATTTAAACAAGATAATTTCAAAATGTAAAAGTTTTGTGGGGAGAATAAAAGGGTAATGGGACAGAGAGTAGCCATGTGCTATTATGTGCATCTCTTTCCAATTCTGTCTTCAGTTGACTTCATGCTTGTAACCTGAGATCAGTCAAGTGGGAATATTTACATGGCAGAAGTCAACCCGTACTATAAACCAAAGCTGTAAATTTGAGCTTTTTTTCCCCTTTCTGAGAGCCAGTGATATATTTGTCAGCTCACTACTGAGAAAAGGACTCAGTAAAAGAGACTAAATGAGATTGTGACAGGAGATGGTGGGTGGGGGTGTTGGGGATCATGGTGAGTGAGCATTGCTTTTTAACAGTCCTTGTACTAGGTACTTGATTTACATTGTTTAATATGTACCAAGGCTCAGAGAAGTTGACTTATCCAAAGATTACATAATAAAAAAGAACCCATTTGATTCTAAAGCCGACTTTTTTTCACTATAGCATGCTTCCAACCTTTAATCAAAGTAAACATTTTTTAGCATCTAGGTAATTTAATTGAGATTGAATGTAACACTCTGTTGTAACAGTCAGTGAAGCATTTACATTTCTTCGATCATGGGAATTCTGATTCTTCCCTGTGTACTTGTCATCACAGGTATAGCTACTCAAAATTTTGACTTCTGGTGCCATATTTCATCAGAATTACTAACTCATGGCTTCATGGGTGGGAAAGAAAATAATTCTTCCATTTTTGGGGGGCATTGATTTTTATTTGTTTTGTTTTAAGGAATGAGGGATGGCAAGGCTAAATTCCCCCAGTCCTAATACAGGAGGTTCATTATGACTGCTAGGCCCGTGTTCTAGAGTCTGGTATAGTTGACTCTTAGGAGGTAGTAGAAAAATAGACTTTATGCCTCAAATTTTAAAAACTTGATATGCGTTTTCAGAATTTGAAGTTAATTCTATAGCTTGAGTTCCCAGACTAGTGATAAATAAAGGCATGCATTTAAATACTCTTTTCTAGTCAAAAAGGTCAATCCCAATTTTTTTCTCCCCACACCAGGGTAGTAGTGTTTATGTTACATTTTTTTCTATAGCTGCAGAATAAACTTAGGCATGCTTTTGACTAAATGTATTAGAATTGGTTGTTCAAGTCATTTGTGTTTTCTGTTAGAAATTTTAAGGGTCACTTTCATTTTTAATGATTATTCTTTTTTTATGCTTGATGTTTTAGGAGGATAAGATACCCACATGTAGTTAACTATCGTGAATAGTTGATATAAATTGTCAAATAAAATATTCTCACTGTATTTTTATTAGAGTTCACTGTTATGAAACAAACTTTGGATAAATCTGATTTACCTGTAGTTTGTATACCAGGATTAGGAAGTAGGGTGTGTAAGAGAACAGGAAGCAGCTATAGGTCTCGTTTTAGGTGATGACATTTTTGGTCTCAGTCTTCCGTGATTTTGGTTGTTCTTTGTAGTTGGAACTAGTGCCCAAAATTCTGTCAGATCTGATTATTGATTAACTAGGAAAAAACTGGAATGAGGCAGAAAGGCTATATAGCCTATTGGTCACTTTAAAAAATGTTTTATATGTTCTTATGGCCCATCCCCCCCTTTGTAAATTAACTAAAGTCCATAGTTTATTCAGATCCCCTGCCTTTATTTTAATTATTTTATTTTATTTTTTAAATTAACATATAATGTATTATTTGTTTCAGGGGTACAGATCTGTGAATCATAAATCTTACACAATTCACACTGCTCACCATAGAATTAATTTATTTTTTAAAGATTTTGTTTATTTATTTGTCAGAGAGAGAGAGAGCATGCACAAGCAGGGAGAGCAGCAAGCAGAGGGAGAAGCAGGTTCACCGCTGAGCAAGTAGCCTTATGTGGGACTTGATCCCAAGAACCTGGGATCATGACCTGAGCCAAAAGCAGGTGCTTAACCAACTGAGCCACCCAGGAGTCCCTAGATCCCTTGCCTCTTAAAAAAGATAACAGTTTAAACTTACCTGGATGATTCAAGTTCAGGAACATTGACCAGTGAGGAACGGTAGCTGCTTACTTTGTAAAAGGTCTAGCTAGCGTATAGCTACGTGTGAGTATGTATTTTATTTTTTGTTATGTTTTATTTGCCACCACTTAGTACATCATTAGTTTTTGATGTAGTGTTCAGCGATTCATTAGTTACGTGTAACACCCAATGCTTATCACAACATGGGCCCTCCTTAATACCCATCACCCGGCTACCCCATGCCCCCAACCCCTTCCTTCTGAAACCCTCAGTTTCCTGGAGTCCATAGTCTCTCATGGTTTGTCTCCCTCTCTTATTTCTTCCCCTTCACATTCAATTTTCCTTCCCTTCCCCAGTGGTCTTCTGTGCTGCTCTTTATGTTCCACATATGAGTGAAACCATATGATAAATGTCTTTCTCTGCCTGACTTGCTTCACTCAGCTTAATCCCTTCCAGTTCCAGCCATGTTGATGTGAATGGTGGGTACTCATCCTTTCTGATGGTTGACTAATACTCCGTTGTATATATGTTCCACATCTTCTTTATCCATTCGTCTGTTGAAGGGCATCTCGGGTCCTTGTGAAGATGTATTTTATTATATTTTTTAAAAGATTTTATTTATTTATTTGACACAGAAAGAGAGAGAGATCGATCACAAGCAGGGGAAGAGGCAGAAGCAGGTTTCCTGCTGAGCAGGGAGCCTGATGTGTGGCTTGATCCCAGAACCCTGGGACTACAACATGAGCCAAAGGCAGATGCCCAACCAGCTGAGCCACTCAGGTGCCCCTGAGGATGTATTTTAAAATAATGATGAAATACAGGGGTTTTTAGTCTTTAGGAGTGAAGTAAGGTCTCTTTTGCTTATGCTGACAGTAGCATCTTTTATATCTGTACCAGTTAACTTGGTATTATGGGTTAATCTTAAAAGTTTCCAAAGCAAGTATGACATTTCTGTTATTCTTTATACTTGCTATATACTGTGTTTTATTTAATTCATAATTCTCTTATCCTTTATAGCTCTTCTGGTATACATAGAGTATCTTTTATTATATAATTTCTATCTTCTTGAACTTCATTTAATATTAGTGAACTGCCAGAGATTCTTAAAACATACCTTTTATTAGTATGCTAAAGTTATGGAAGTGCTCAGGCCTACACAAAAAGAATGGAAGCATTTTAGATATTTAGAAAGGTTGTGCTTTACTGTCTCTTCAGTTTAGATCCAGAATCTAGCCTAGGGATCATACATGGTCTTCTCATTCACATTGGAGAAGAGCATTCAATTGCGGTATGGATTACTTAGAAATTTAATACGCATGTATATTTTTTTCACTATAACTTTCTATTTGAAATATTAATATAAATAACAAATTTGCTTGTCTTCTTTCTTGTACTGGAAGTTTATGTGATAGGTACTGAGATTTTGTGCATTTTTTCATCTTGGAGGACAATAATGTCTTCAGTGGCCATTAATCATGCCATTCAATATTAAACCACTTACTAATTAAAGGTCACTTAAGGGCGCCTGGGTGGCTCAGTGGGTTAAACCTCTGCCTTTGGCTTAGGTCATGATCTCAGGGTCCAGGGATCGAGTCCCACATCGGGCTCTCTGCTCAGTGGGGAGGCTGCTTCCCTCTCTCTCGCTGCCTGCCTCTCTGCCTACTTGTGATCTCTCTCTGTGTGTCAAATAAATAAATAAAATCTTAAAAAAAAAAGTCACTTAAAATCTTGTAATTAACTGTAGCATATCCACCAATAAATATTTTTATTTGGCAAATATGTGAACTAATTTGTAGTACTTTTCATTAGTTCCTGTTAGAAAAATATTATGCTGTCATACTAGGCATGATAACAGATGCTGAAGATCATTAGGTAAAGACCAGTGTAGCAGTGATGAAGAGCTGTGTTCAGATGGACCTGGGTTCTGCTAACTCTGCCACTTTATTGGTGTGGTCTTGGACAGGTCTTTTAACTTCTTGGTGTCTCTGTTTCATCTGTAAGATTAGAAATATTCCAACATTCCAGGGGTGCCTGGGTGGCTCAGTCTTTTAAGTGTCTGCTTTTGGCTTAGGTCATGATCCCAGGGTTCTGGGATGTAGTCCCATGTTGGACTCCCTGCTCAGCGGGGAGTCTGCTTCTCCTTCCGCCCCCCCCACCCCCTGCCACTCCTGTTCTCTCTCTCTCAAATAAGTAAAATCTTCAAAAAAAAAAAAAAATTCTAACATTCCAGCTCAGG